TCAAGAGCCCCTCAGTTCAGAGCTGCAGCCATGATGACACACTTACAGTGAGGAAAATGTTTAAACTAGCCTAAGAATGTTTCAGATGCATAACAAAATCAGGATCAAGGGGATTGTGCCTTTTCAACACTAAATGCATTTCAGTTCTATGACGTCCACAATGGAAGCTTTGGATTTTGTAGGCAACACCCTCCCTCTAATTATTTTATGCACTGGACTTGAACATATCACAGAATATTTGAAGCAGGGTGATGGGAGAAGACCATCAGTCTAATCTGAACAGAAATACTACTGCTCTAGCTTACCTCTAGCTATTTCACTGGCTTCAGTGTTTTTGATTTATATCTGCTCTGAAATTGACATAGCTCTGTATACCACAGAAACGTTTATAAACTTTGAAGGTCTATTAAAACTCAGAAAGTAACTTCCAATGGCTCATGGCCATTCCTGACCCAGGTGACCCACTTCTCCAGCAGAAACCTCCTTGACCAGAATGCATCCCCCCACCTTCCAATTTAACACCTCTGCAAAACCTTCATAAAATGGGAGACAGGTGCAGAGGAAGTTTCTAGGCAGTTCCTCCATAACAGTCTGCTCCAAATGTGAAGCACTCAGATTCCCAACTGACTAACCACTATGGTAAAAATCAAGCACCCTTCCGGTTTACAAATGCATCCTCGTTGCAACAGAAAATACTGCTTTGGAGGTGTGAAGAGTCATCTTAGACTTCATACCAACAGTACAATTCTCACATCACCTCTGAGTGTCATAGAATCACATTTCTATTATCCTCTAGCACCTAGTCTTCTTGTATTTTGTTTTCACTGCCTATTTAATGTTGTTTCAATGGCATTTTATGCCTGACATATTATTGTGGATTTTACGTTTACATGAACATAATTGCCTTTTGTACATTGTCCTGCTATCAAACTGATGTAAAGTGGTTTTTATTTATATTACATATGCCTTCAAATGCAATGTTTTTGAACAGAGTCCGCTCATACATTCGATTTATTATTATTATTATTATTATTATTTATTACTTATACCCTGCCCACCTGGCGATGCCTCCCCAGCCACTCTGGGCGGCTTCCAACAGGGGATTTAAAACACAATAAAACATCAAACACTAAAAACGTCCCTAAACAGGGCTGTCCAAATCATCAAGTATGCAGTAATCTTATTTTATAAAATGAGGGTGGGATGGGGAAGAATCAGATTTTATTTGCATATTAGTGAGAAACTATTTAACTTGTACTTCTGGAAACAATATGTGAACCAAAACTGAAGGCATCCTTCAGAAATTAGCACTTCTCCAAATTTTGCAATGTGTACAAAAATGCATAAATTAGGGGGGAGTGATTGCATGAGAATACATATATGTGATTGAAAAAAAACATAAATGCATGTATTGTATTACAGAAAATTGCTTGCAAAAATGTGTATACTGTATTAGTCAAAACTGCATACCAAAATGTGTTCATTAGGAAAAAATAACAATAAAATGCAGAGAAATTTTCATGGGGATTTAAAAAACAAAATTCCCAAATTGTTGCAAAAAGGTGGAAAATGTGAAAAACTGATAGAAACCAAAGCTGACATCCATGCTTAAATCAGCCAAAACTTATCTGCTTCCAGAGTTCAATAAATCAGAATAGAAATGTATAAAACAGGAGGTCACTTTTGAAGTTACCAAATGATAAACAGTTCTAAGGCTAAGGATAGGACATAGCTTAGTGGCAGAGCACATGGTTTCAATGCAGAAGGTGCTAGCCTGAGTGAGTCACCCTGAGAGTTGCAACCTGGAAATCTGCTCTGTGCCTTTAAATTCCCCGCTGAATCAGGCAGTCAGTGATGAGGCAGCCATGTCTTCTCCCACCTAGTTTCCACAATTGGTTTGCCTACTCTCCTCCAAAGCAGGGGAATATGCCAGGGATGTGGAGAAGGATAGGCAAAAAAGGAGTGTGTGAGAGTTTCTTTGTGCGCGCAGAGAATGGGTAGGAAAATCCTCATTTATTCCAACTCTCGATTCAGGGAGAAATTAATAAGGTGTAAGTGCAGCAAGATTGCAGCTCACAGTGGTTCACATCATTACATTCTGAACATGGAAATACTTCACAAGAATGGAAATCTCTTTGACTAATTGCGGCAATCAGGAGGAAAAAAGGAGCATTTTGGCTGAGTGTATGGGCTACACCTGATTACGGTTTATTTCCCTGAACTTTAGACTGAGGGCGCAATCCGGCTCCTATACAGAAGTCAAGAGCAAAAACTCCCATTGATTTTAGTGGAGAAGAACTGGAGCCCTGGGAACAAGCTAATAAGGAATTCGACAAATGGCACAAAGTTTTCCTCTGCTGAAAATTAGAGGGTTGTTAACTACAGTCAGTCTTGCATGTGTAGCAAATGATGTGAGCAACAACCTTTTAACTGTTTGAAGCAAATGAAAAACGTGGATAGCGAGTGGGACCTGTAACAAGCTGTTCCCGTGTGCGGTGCTCCTTATTCACTGCTCCACTCAGCCAGTCAGACCTTTTCTCTAGAATCCTCCATTCCATCCTGTTCCTGCCCACCCCCACCATCAGTCAGCATTCTGTCCCATGGCGCCCCCCCCAGTCCTCCCTCCTCCTCCTCTCCCCCCCCCCCCGCCCCACACCACACCATCTTTTCCTGAATATTTTTCTCACTTCTGCAAACCTTGGGGTTTTCCCCAGCCTGCCCAAACTTCCTCCTGACTGTGGGTGCTGTCCTTTTTGCTACATTAGCAATGGCACTCATGCCCAAACATCAAAAATGGAGGGAGGTGGCTCCTTCAACTCCTGTTTTGAGGTGAAAACATTTAAGTGTTAGTTAAAGCTCTTTTGTAGCTTTAAAACCTTCACCTGAACAACAAATACCAATAAGGTTAATCTGTCAGCAGGAAGGAAAGCAAGCAAATGAATTAGAGGTATTAAATTTGGACTGCAAGCCTAAGCACACTTACTCGGCCAGAAACTCTGCTGAAATCTGCGGGATGTTTCCAAGTAGCTATGTTGAGGACTAGAGGCCTGGCAGTTTTATTCCACTTGTGATCCATGAACAGAATATTTAACTAAAAGAACCCAGCAGCCTTCCCAGCAGGCGTGTCCTCTGCTATTTACATGAATACATGCAAGTTGCCCAAGAGATTGCACAAAGTAATTTTGTGCTGAAACAGATCCGAAGGCAGTTACAATTCAAACCTGCTTTGAAAACATGAAACTGCTACAAAGTGCCGGGGTTGGGGAGGCCAGGGAGAGTCTCTGCTTTGCCAGACACACCGTGAGGTAACAATTGCAGCGGCTTATCTGAAATTAACTGCATCTCCTGAGCAGAAATGGGTTATGAAGTTATCTGCCAGTATAAAAGATGTAAAAGGAAAAACGCAGCAGAGGCTCTGGAGTACAGAAAAGAAGGGATAAATCCAGACCAGAACATTCCAAATAGCTGTACAACGGGATTACAGCAGAGTAGAACAATCCTTTTTAAAAAGCAACCTGAAAAAGCTGAGATGGAAGTAAGGCTACAATCCCTCACAAACTTTCCTTGGAGTAAATGCCACAGTATAAAGTGGGACTTCCTTGGGGTGGATCTGAGTGGGATCAGGCTGCCCGGCTAATCAACTGTGGTAGGTCGCAAAATGCAGAAATTAAACATGATCATAATGTCACTTGTGTTTCAAAGCAATACAGGCAGGGCTACGTTTGAATTTCTAATCACATGAAATGCTTTTTTACAAAACATTTCTCCATCGGCCCATAACCTCTGGATCGTGGTATTCCGGCAAGTTTGAGAGCTGCCAAATCTGTAAGCCACTTGCACCAAAATTGTCCAGAATTGAGGCTTCCCATTCATTAGAAACGCAAAGCTACAAAAATGTGTACCGTTATGTGTGAAACTGAATAATCATACATTTTTTTAAAAAAGAAAAATCAATAAAGCTCCAAATTAAAATCCAGCCCATTCATGTGAGAATCATCGATGAAACTATTCACACACACACACACACACACACACACACACACATATATATATATATATATGGAAAATAAGCTCTGCCTATGTTGGAAGCCTTCCTTTCTCTTTTGGAAAGTTGAGGGGCCGCAGCCCAGCTGCTCTCGGCTCCCCAGGGCGGCGGGGGAGAAGCCCCTCGGCCCCCCTCGAGACTCACCATCCCGGCGGCGGCGAAGAAGAAGACGGCCAGCAGCGCCAGGCAGGCGCCCAGCACGATGAGCAGCAGGAAGACGAGCAGCGGGTGCTGCTGGCTCAGGCAGTAGTACGACTCGTAGAGCCAGTCGCGGCCCGGGGCGCGCGGGCGGCGGCAGCACAGGCGCAGCCGGCGGGGCCCCTCGGAGCCCTCCGGGGCCCCGCAGCCCTCGCCGCGCTCCGCCGGCTCCCGGTGCCTCCTCATGGCGCGCGGGCGCCGCCGATCTGGCCGGCCAGGCGTCGCCAGGGGCCGCCCCGCTCCTCAGGACGCCGCCGCCCCCGGCCGCCCCCGACGGCGCAGCGCCCCGGCCGCCTCCGCATGCCGCGCCGGGAGCCGGAGGGCGCTCGCCTGCTGCTGCTGCTGGCGGCGTCCCGGCGGAGAGGCGAGCGGCCGAAGGCGCCCCAGCCAGTCCCCGAGTGGCGGCGGCGGTGGCGACGCGCGAGGAGAAGGCGGGCTCCGGCTCCGGCTCCGCCGCCCGCCCCCTGCCCGCCCCCCGCCGGCAGCCGCCTTGGGCGCGGGAGCGCGCGCTCCGCCGCCGGGAAGGCCGCGTGGCACTGCCGGGGTTGGACTAGATGACCCCGGGGAGCCCTTCCAAGGCCACGGTTCTCTGAGGTGGGCGCTGCGCTTGGCGACGGGGGATCTGAGCGTGCGCAGAGGGCAGCTGGGCGGTGGGCGCAAGTGGATCCATTCCGGACGCCGACAGCCAGGACAAGGACTTCGCGGGTTCGATGTGTTATAGAAACGGGAGAGAGTGGAAAGGGATCCCGGGGGACATCTAGTCCAACCCGCCGGAACGCAAAAATCTTTTGCCCAACGTGGGGCTCATGCTTTACTGACTGAGCTCTCCTTCAGCTGCGACGCGTGAAATGGGTCGCCTTGCGCCGAACCCATCAGTGCCGAAGCTTCCTCGGCGGCGCCTCGGAGCGCACGGGTCGGAAGTGGGGCAAGGCGCCGGGCTTCCCGCAACTAGATCCACGCCCCAAGCAGGACAACCCTAGGCAATCGCAAGAAAGTCCCTGGGGCTTACTCCAGAGTAAGTGAGTACAGGCGTGCAGCCCAAGTGCCACTTGCTTGGGTGACAGTTGCATGGGATGGATCGCAACCTCTGCAGGCGCGTGTTGGCTCCGGACCAGGAGGAAGCCTCGCTGGATGCAGGGGCGCTTACTCCGCAATGTCCAGGGGAGCAGCTTTCAAGAGATTTCCTCCGACGGCTGAGAGACGCCTGTCCCAAGGGCTCTGCTGTCCTCTGTCTCGAGCAGCGCTCATGCAAACAGCTAATAGCCGGGTGTGCAAGCGCAGCAAGGCTGCCGAGTTGGCTCCTGGTGAACGCGCAGCAAAGCAGAAAGAAAGACTTGGTCCCATCCTGGAGCCCCAGTGGTGGCACCTGAAATGCATAGGTGGGGGTGTTTGTTTGGGAACTCGGCAGCTTACAGATAAAAATAAGAACAGCTAAAAACATTGAAAATAACAGTCATAAAAAATAAACACTGATAGAGTTATCATTGTGTATAAACTTACAGGCTTAAGCAGTATGTGGACTGAGAACTCCCAGAAGTGCAAGCTGGATTTCAAAGGGGCAGAGGAACCAGAGACCAAATTGCAAACATGTGCTGGATTATGGAGAAAGCTAGAGAGTTCCAGAAAGACATCTACTTCTGCTTCATTGACTATGCAAAAGCCTTTGACTGTGTTGACCACAGCAAACTATGGCAAGTTCTTAAAGAAATGGGAGTGCCTGATCACCTCATCTGTCTCCTGAGAAATTTCTACGTGGGACAAGAAGCTACACTTAGAACTGGATATGGAACAACTGATTGGTTCAAAATTGGGAAAGGAGTACGCAAGGCTGTATATTGTCTCCCTGCTTATTTAACTTATATGCAGAATTCATCATGCGAAAGGCTGGGCTGGATGAATCCCAAGCTGGAATTAAGATCGCCGGAAGAAATATCAACAACCTCAGATATGCAGATGACACAACCTTGATGGCAGAAAGTGAGGAGGAATTAAAGAACCTTTTAATGAGGGTGAAAGAGGAGAGCGCAAAATATGGTCTGAAGCTCAACATCAAAAAAACGAAGATCATGGCCACTGGGCCCATCACCTCCTGGGAAATAGAAGGGGAAGAAATGGAGGCGGTGAGAGATTTTACTTTCTTGGGTTCCATGATCACTGCAGATGGTGACAGCAGTCACGAAATTAAAAGATGCCTGCTCCTTGGGAGAAAAGCAATGACAAACCTAGACAGCATCTTAAAAAGTAGAGACATCACCTTGCCAACAAAGGTCCGTATAGTAAAAGCCATGGTTTTCCCAGTAGTGATGTATGGAAGTGAGAGCTGGACCATAAAGAAGGCTGATCGCCTAAGAATTGATGCTTTTGAACTGTGGTGCTGGAGGAGACTCTTGAGAGTCCCATGGACTGCAAGAAGATCGAATGTATCCATTCTTAAGGAAATCAGCCTCGAGTGCTCACTGGAAGGACAGATCGTGAAGCTGAGGCTCCAATACTTTGGCCACCTCATGAGAAGAGAAGACTCCCTGGAAAAGACCCTGATGTTGGGAAAGATTGAGGGCACAAGAAGAAGGGGACGACAGAGGACGAGATGGTTGGACACTGTTCTCGAAGCTACAAACATGAGTCTGACCAAACTGCGGGAGGCAGTGGAAGACAGGAGTGCCTGGCGTGCTCTGGTCCATGGGGTCACGAAGAGTCGGACACGACTAAACGACTAAACAACAACAACAATAAACCTACAGATAATTACAATAAAAACAGCATGGCACCAGCCCTTTCACTAAAAGCCACCTGTCCCCCAGAGGCTGCTGTTCTTCACCTCCGGGCAGAACAACAAGGAGGGAGTCAGATTGGCTTCCCCAGAGAGAGTTCCATAGTCTGGGAGTAGCCACTGAAAAGGCCCTGTCCTTCATCCCCACCAAGTGTGCATGGAGAAAGGCCTCCATGGAAGATCTCAGAACCTGGGCAGTTTTGGATGAGGGAATACAGTCTTTCAGATAGCCTGGACCAAAGCTATGTAGGGCTTCATAGCGGTGGCATAGTGTGAGAGGACGGGAGGGGCACAGTTTTTTTGGGGTGTATTCCTCACAATGCCCTGCTGTGTTGTGAGCTGTTGCGTCCTTCTCACACTGGAGGGCACCTTGAGAAGGATGCAACAGCTCACGGTGCTCTGCCACCCAACTGCCATTTTTGCAAGTCTCACGAAACAGCACTGGGCTCACAGGGCACCCTGAGTGCACCCCTCAAAGTAGGGTGTCGTTGCCTGGGCAGGCTCCCCATTGTGCGGCCAAGCAGGTGGTGCAGTGCTGCCCTATTTAGCTCCAGTGGGCGGAGGGTGCAACTTTTCTGACTGACATATGCAACTTTTATGACTTGACGTGTGGAAAACCACATGAATTTGACCTTTGGAGAGTTTGTAAGTAAACCATTTTCTAACTTACCAAACGTGGTCTTTTCCTATGCTGGGGGAAGAAGGAAACTTGGAAGGAACTTTTAAAGGGGACAATTTTGGAACTCATCTGGAAAGGCCTTAAAGCAGGGGTCAGCAAACTTTTTCAGCAAGGGGGCGGTCCACTGTCCCTCAGACCTTGTGAGGGGCCGGACTGTATTTTTTGGGGGGGGGGGATGAATGAATTCATATGCCCCACAAATAACCCAGAGATGCATTTTAAATAAAAGGACACATTCTACTCATGTAAAAACACGCTGAGTCCCAGACCACCCACGGGCCAGATTTAGAAGGCGATTGGGCCGGATCCGGCCCCCAAGCCTTAGTTTGCTTACCCATGCCTTAAAGGTTTTACAGCCTATATTTCCACATTTTACTTTGCTGCCTTTTTAAACATTTTAAATCTACTGGGGTTCTTTGACCAAAGAGTACTTGCTTTGCTCTCAGGGGCGTAGCTAGCTGCTCCAACACCTGGAGCGGCCAGGGCGGGGCGACCCACCCATGGGGGCGCTGCGGTGAGCTGCCCACTGAGTCCGCTTGGCAGACGCAAGCCCCACGCTGCCATTTTGGGCAGCACGGGGCCCTGAGCCACCGCGTCACTCCCAGGAGAGACATGTGGCTCAGGCGCGCTTCAGGCCAGGCCCTGTGGTAAGTGCCATCCCCCGTGGTGTGCCATTTCGTGTCCCCCCCCAAAGGATGATACCTGGGGCAGACTGCACTCCCCGCACCTCCGTTCCTACGCCCCTGTTTGCTCTGTACTTGGATCCTGGCATCCACAAATTCTCTTCCCAGATACAGATACCAACTCCAATACCAAAGGTAATACAGTGGTACCTCGGGTTACATACGCTTCAGGTTACAGACTCCACTAACCCAGAAATATTACCTTGGGTTAAGAACTTTGCTTCAGGATGAGAACAGAAATCATGTTCCAGTGGTGCGGCAGCAGCAGGAGGCCCCATTAGCTAAAGTGGTGCTTCAGGTTAAGAACAGTTTCAGGTTAAGTACGGACCTGCAGAACGAATTAAGTACTTAACCCGAGGTACCACTGTATATATTAATAATGGCAAGTAGGCATTGACAGCTTTCTCTTCCATGAATTTGTCTGAAGTCATTCCTTTCAAACTGTCTCAAATTTGTAACTGTTAGTACATCTTGTGCTGGCAAATCCCAGTGTTTTTAATCTGGCCAGAGAAAAGAAAATAGAATCAGAATTCTCAAATCCTTTCGGAGACAGCGTCAGAGAGTTGGGAAGGTGTGTTGCGTTGTTGTTCCTGGGAGGGGGTGTCTAGTGCTCCACTGGTCTGCTTGTTCCCCCTGTATTATATGTGAATAGTGGAAAGGTCTTTGTAAAATGAAATTTAACCCCTAAAGCCGTCACTCAGAAAAGTCGAGAGTGTGAAATAAAGTTTTTGGTTCTGTGCAGTCTGTCATATAAGGCATTATTCCATGTACCGGAATAAAAAAATACTAAGGGACTACCTGCAGCAGCATTAACTTTTCTCCTTTAGGCACCTACATTGTTGGCACCAAACATGGAATGAACTCTGACGGCTAGCTAGCATTCCTTCCATATAGCAGCCGAGAGAGATGCAGTCTTGTGGAAGGAAAGGGTGGAAGGAAAGAGAAGCTTCCATCATACTTACATGTGAATACATCAGCACATGATCAAGTTCAGGATTTATCCTTCCAAACCATGAGGTGTAGACAAAAGTGAGCCTAATGAGCTCTAATCATGTATTTCTCCATATTGAAAAAGGCTATTAGGAAAACAAAAGGAGAGAGCGATAAAAGGCAGCAGGAGAAGAGAGACAAGAAACACTGTGTCGCCCCATTATTGTGCTTGCTAAAATGCAGACCAGCCAGGCATGTAATCAGGAGGAAAAGGGAGAGAAAATATAGGTTAGGTGACATCATTTATTGAACCAACATCTCCCGGCAGAAGAGCATGCAGCTCCCTTCTTCAGTCTCTCCTGAGATAAGTTTCTGGGATAAAAGGAAACCTGAACAACAGGTACAGGAAGGGCTACAGCTCAGTGGAAAGACACGCAAACCTGGGACCTCACATATTCCCATCTTTGGTCTCTGGCATTTCCAGCAACAATGATCTGCAGTAGCAGAGCTAAGAGGGAGTGTCGAGAGAGGCTGAATTTGCCCATTCCTCCTGCAAATATAGGGATGGTGGTGAGCTACATGTGGTTTAAGTAAACCATGATCAAAGTATCCAAGGCAGCACTTCAGTGAAGGGATGAGACAGGCACCAGCATGCGTGAGCCCCGTCAGTAGCACTCTCCGTCCCAGCCGGCAGCAGAAACGCAGCAGGAGGGAAGCCAGCTGTTCACCCTTTAAAACATCCATGAGCAGAGGACAGCTGGAGGCAGAAAGACACATTGGGACCCAAGATAAAGACAAATCAGGGATGGGTGAGGGTGTCCATTTCATTTTCTCTTTTTTCCACTATTCACTTCAGTTCTTCCCACTTCCTCATCAGTGTGCAATTGGAAAAAAGTCCTGAAATTTATCAGCCTTTTACAGCAAATTTCTCTCAATATGCATATTTTTGTGTGCAGTTTTGCCTAATATACACAGTTTAATAAAGCAGCTTTGCCAAAGGTAATGCATTTTTATATGTTACTTTCAATAGCATATTCATTTATATGCACAGTTAAGTATATGTATCTTTCTACACATTCCTTGGCTAAAGAACTGCATTGCATAATTTCAAGATGTGTGACTCTCCATATTATTTCAGAAAGTGTGGATTAGGTAATTTCACCTTTACATTTCACCTTTAAATGGAATTTCTCCTCCATATACCTATGTCAAGCAGTGGGGGGGGGGGCAAAGAGAGGAATTCCCCATCCATATGCTTTTGTTAGTTGTGGCATAGAAGGTGCAGGAAATTGGGCAGGAGAAGCTAATAGAGGGACCTAGGCAGAGCCCACAGACTCAATACTTTTGCCTGTACAGTTTTAAACCTGTGCCCATTCTGAACTGCCCGTGCTGTTCAACAGTTAGCATAAATTGCAAGCTTTCACTAAGCCCGTTCCCCATTTTTCTTCTTTCACAAATGAAAAGCAATTTTGTCCTTGATGCAAATTAGTATTAGTAATAACATTCTCTCTATAAAGTACATTCAGGCTGGAGCTATACATGCAAGGAAATGAAGTGATAAGAGTCTGGAAGGTATAGTCTGTGTATGTGTGTGTGCACGCGCCTATACACACACACACACACACACACACACACACACACAGAGTCATACTTTCTGTATATAGAAAACTAGTAGAGCAAGGAGGTGACTGCAGCCTTTATACCTATAGGGAGGGCTTCAAAACAAAACAGGGAGGCATTCAAAAGTGGCCCACAACATAATATCTGAAGAAGTGCAATTCACTACCCATATTGAGGGCTCTCCCATGTCTGAGAATACAGCTTCTTCAGAGATCACATGTTTTTTGAGAGTGATTCCTGCATCTACAAACATGGTATGGGATACATCCCACCTGAAGGTTTTGTGTACTCTTGGATTGCAGTATAAGGGTGAAATCAGAGATATCGGACAGCTTGAGATTTTAACATTCAGTAAGAGATGGGGTCCACAGCTCTGTGGCAGATTTACAAAAAGAAAAGAAAAACACCAAAAATTCAATTTTAGAAGGGGGCAAGATTAGACATGGATACACAAAGCTGTCAGTATATGAGAACATCGCAGCTGCAAACAGCCAGCTTGTTGACATCACAAGATGCGGCTAGCTGTGGGAAAGAATTTCCCAGGAAGTTCACAGGCTGGAAAAGGCTCTGTGAAGAGTGTAATTTGAAACCTTCCGTTTGCGCATGTACAGGAAGTTTGTCAGACTTGCTAGAAGAACTGAACTGAAAGGACGTGTTTTTCTCTAAGGGAGCTAAGGGAGCTGGGCATGTTTAGCCTGGAGAAGAGGAGGGTAAGGGGTGATATGATAGCCATGTTCAAATATATAAAAGGATGTCACATAGAGGAGGGAGAAATGTTATTTTCTGCTGCTCCAGAGAAGCGGACACGGAGCAATGGATCCAAACTACAAGAAAGAAGATTCCACCTAAACATTAGGAAGAACTTCCTGACAGTATGAGCTGTTCGACAGTGGAATTTGCTGCCAAGGAGTGTGGTGGAGTCTCCTTCTTTGGAGGTCTTTAAGCAGAGGCTTGACAACCATATGTCAGGAGTGCTCTGATGGTGTTTCCTGCTTGGCAGGGGGTTGGACTCGATGGCCCTTGTGGTCTCTTCCAACTCTATGAT